GTTAGGACTCCACACAAGGTACATGTTAGGACTCCACACAAGGTTCAAGTTAGGACTCCACACAAGGTACATGTTAGGACTCCACACAAGGTACAAGTCAGGACTCCACACAAGGTTCAAGTTAGGACTCCACACAAGGTACATGTTAGGACTCCACACAAGGTACATGTTAGGACTCCACACAAGGTTCAAGTTAGGACTCCACACAAGGTACATGTTAGGACTCCACACAAGGTTCAAGTTAGGACTCCACACAAGGTACATGTTAGGACTCCACACAAGGTACAAGTCAGGACTCCACACAAGGTACAAGTTAGGACTCCACACAAGGTACAAGTTAGGACTCCACACAAGGTACATGTTAGGACTCCACACAAGGTTCAAGTTAGGACTCCACACAAGGTACATGTTAGGACTCCACACAAGGTTCAAGTTAGGACTCCACACAAGGTACATGTTAGGACTCCACACAAGGTACAAGTCAGGACTCCACACAAGGTACATGTTAGGACTCCACACAAGGTTCAAGTTAGGACTCCACACAAGGTACATGTTAGGACTCCACACAAGGTTCAAGTTAGGACTCCACACAAGGTACATGTTAGGACTCCACACAAGGTTCAAGTTAGGACTCCACACAAGGTACATGTTAGGACTCCACACAAGGTTCAAGTTAGGACTCCACACAAGGTACATGTTAGGACTCCACACAAGGTTCAAGTTAGGACTCCACACAAGGTACATGTTAGGACTCCACACAAGGTTCAAGTTAGGACTCCACACAAGGTACATGTTAGGACTCCACACAAGGTTCAAGTTAGGACTCCACACAAGGTACATGTTAGGACTCCACACAAGGTTCAAGTTAGGACTCCACACAAGGTACATGTTAGGACTCCACACAAGGTTCAAGTTAGGACTCCACACAAGGTACATGTTAGGACTCCACACAAGGTTCAAGTTAGGACTCCACACAAGGTTCAAGTCAGGACTCCACACAAGGTACATGTTAGGACTCCACACAAGGTTCAAGTTAGGACTCCACACAAGGTACAAGTCAGGACTCCACACAAGGTACAAGTTAGGACTCCACACAAGGTACAAGTCAGGACTCCACACAAGGTACAAGTTAGGACTCCACACAAGGTACAAGTTAGGACTCCACACAAGGTACAAGTTAGGACTCCACACAAGGTACAAGTCAGGACTCCACACAAGGTACAAGTCAGGACTCCACACAAGGTACAAGTCAGGACTCCACACAAGGTACAAGTCAGGACTCCACACAAGGTACAAGTCAGGACTCCACACAAGGTACAAGTCAGGACTCCACACAAGGTACAAGTCAGGACTCCACACAAGGTACAAGTCAGGACTCCACACAAGGTACAAGTTAGGACTCCACACAAGGTACAAGTCAGGACTCCACACAAGGTACAAGTCAGGACTCCACACAAGGTACAAGTCAGGACTCCACACAAGGTACAAGTCAGGACTCCACACAAGGTACAAGTCAGGACTCCACACAAGGTACAAGTCAGGACTCCACACAAGGTACAAGTCAGGACTCCACACAAGGTACAAGTCAGGACTCCACACAAGGTACAAGTCAGGACTCCACACAAGGTACAAGTTAGGACTCCACACAAGGTACAAGTCAGGACTCCACACAAGGTACAAGTCAGGACTCCACACAAGGTACAAGTCAGGACTCCACACAAGGTACAAGTCAGGACTCCACACAAGGTACAAGTCAGGACTCCACACAAGGTACAAGTTAGGACTCCACACAAGGTACAAGTTAGGACTCCACACAAGGTACAAGTCAGGACTCCACACAAGGTACAAGTCAGGACTCCACACAAGGTACAAGTCAGGACTCCACACAAGGTACAAGTCAGGACTCCACACAAGGTACAAGTCAGGACTCCACACAAGGTACAAGTCAGGACTCCACACAAGGTACAAGTCAGGACTCCACACAAGGTACAAGTCAGGACTCCACACAAGGTACAAGTTAGGACTCCACACAAGGTACAAGTCAGGACTCCACACAAGGTACAAGTCAGGACTCCACACAAGGTACAAGTCAGGACTCCACACAAGGTACAAGTCAGGACTCCACACAAGGTACATGTTAGGACTCCACACAAAGTACAAGTCAGGACTCCACACAAGGTACAAGTCAGGACTCCACACAAGGTACAAGTTAGGACTCCACACAAGGTACAAGTTAGGACTCCACACAAGGTACAAGTTAGGACTCCACACAAGGTACATGTTAGGACTCCACACAAGGTACAAGTCAGGACTCCACACAAGGTACAAGTTAGGACTCCACACAAGGTACAAGTCAGGACTCCACACAAGGTACAAGTCAGGACTCCACACAAGGTATAAGACTCCCACACACATAAACATTCAATACTTTCAACGTCAGGAAATATGATCACCAATTCAATACGCTTTGCTCATAATGATATACAAACCACGTATCGGAAAAAGGAAGAGACGACGACGTTTCGGTCCGTCCTGGACCATCATCGTATAATGGTCCAGGACGGACCGAAACGTCGTCGTTTCGGTCCATCTTCTGACGTGTGGGTTTGGACAACATATCTTCACCCACGTTATTGTGACTCACTTGCGCGTAATCCAATCCTCTTAGGCACCTGTGTCACCACCATTTTTGTTCACTGTTCACATTTTTTTTAATCGTCTTGTTAACTGTCGAGACATTGTGTCATAGACTGTCATGATAGTCTTAGTCAGCACTAAGACACAGGGATAGTCTTAGTCAGCACTAAGACACAGAGATAGTCTTAGTCAGCACTAAGACACAGGGATTGTCTTAGTGCTGTAACAAGGACTATCAAAGTACTCACCTACAGTGCCATTATCTCTCACAGTTTACTAACGCTAGTTACCTAGCACGAGTGCTTCTTAAGTGGCAGTTAAGCCGGTCAACAGCCCCAAATGATTCACTATTACATGTTTAGGCATCTGGCCTAAAAAAAAAGAGTTAAAGAGTTAACAAACAGATCTTCTGCAGTGTTTTGGAGTCTTATATTCTTATACTACTATAACTGCAGTCAAATATTCTTGTTAGTTTACCAGATTCACAAACAGAACCACATTCTGTTCATTGACACAACGTCACTGTTCATCGGTGCGATTAGCAGACTATGTTGAACTACTGCAAATGCTTATGAGCGTTGTTAGCTGCCTAAGGGTTAAGGAAGAACGGGGCCTGGTGGCACCACGGCTGGTAGACTACTGTGGCACCACAGCTGGTAGACTACTGTGGCATCACAGCTGGTAGACTACTGTGGCACCACGGCTGGTAGACTACTGTGGCACCACAGCTGGTAGACTACTGTGGCACCACAGCTGGTAGACAACTGTGGCACCACAGCTGGTAGACTACTGTGGCACCACAGCTGGTAGACAACTGTGGCACCACAGCTGGTAGACTACTGTGGCACCACAGCTGGTAGACAACTGTGGCACCACAGCTGGTAGACTACTGTGGCACCACAGCTGGTAGACAACTGTGGCACCACAGCTGGTAGACAACTGTGGCACCACAGCTGGTAGACAACTGTGGCACCACAGCTGGTAGACTACTGTGGCACCACAGCTGGTAGACAACTGTGGCACCACAGCTGGTAGACTACTGTGGCACCACAGCTGGTAGACAACTGTGGCACCACAGCTGGTAGACTACTGTGGCACCACAACTGGTAGACTACTGTGGCACCACAGCTGGTAGACAACTGTGGCACCACAGCTGGTAGACAACTGTGGCACCACAGCTGGTAGACTACTGTGGCACCACAGCTGGTAGACTACTGTGGCACCACGGCTGGTAGACTACTGTGACACCACGGCTGGTAGACAACTGTGGCACCACGGCTGGTAGACTACTGTGACACCACAGCTGGTAGACTACTGTGGCACCACAGCTGGTAGACTACTGTGGCATCACAGCTGGTAGACTACTGTGGCACCACAGCTGGTAGACTACTGTGGCACCACAGCTGGTAGGCCATGGTGGCACCACAGCTGGTAGACTACTGTGGCACCACAGCTGGTAGACTACTGTGGCATCACGGCTGGTAGACTACTGTGGCACCACGGCTAGTAGACTACTGTGGCACCACAGCTGGTAGACTTCTGTGGCACCACAGCTGGTAGACTACTGTGGCACCACAGCTGGTAGACCATGGTGGCACCACAGCTGGTAGACTACTGTGGCACCACAGCTGGTAGACCATGGTGGCACCACAGCTGGTAGACTACTGTGGCACCACAGCTGGTAGACCATGGTGGCACCACAGCTGGTAGACTACTGTGGCACCACAGCTGGTAGACTACTGTGGCATCACAGCTGGTAGACTACTGTGGCACCACAGCTGGTAGACTACTGTGGCACCACAGCTGGTAGACTACTGTGGCACCACAGCTGGTAGACTACTGTGGCACCACAGCTGGTAGACTACTGTGGCATCACAGCTGGTAGACTACTGTGGCACCACAGCTGGTAGACTACTGTGGCACCACAGCTGGTAGACTACTGTGGCACCACAGCTGGTAGACAACTGTGGCACCACAGCTGGTAGACTACTGTGGCACCACAGCTGGTAGACTACTGTGGCACCACAGCTGGTAGACTACTGTGGCACCACAGCTGGCAGACCATGGTGGCACCACAGCTGGTAGACTACTGTGGCACCACAGCTGGTAGACTACTGTGGCACCACAGCTGGTAGACCATGGTGGCACCACAGCTGGTAGACTACTGTGGCACCACAGCTGGTAGACAACTGTGGCACCACAGCTGGTAGACCATGGTGGCACCACAGCTGGTAGACTACTGTGGCACCACAGCTGGTAGACTACTGTGGCACCACAGCTGGTAGACCATGGTGGCACCACAGCTGGTAGACTACTGTGGCACCACAGCTGGTAGACCATGGTGGCACCACAGCTGGTAGACTACTGTGGCACCACAGCTGGTAGACCATGGTGGCACCACAGCTGGTAGACTACTGTGGCACCACAGCTGGTAGACTACTGTGGCACCACAGCTGGTAGACCATGGTGGCACCACAGCTGGTAGACTACTGTGGCACCACAGCTGGTAGACAACTGTGGCACCACAGCTGGTAGACTACTGTGGCACCACAGCTGGTAGACTACTGTGGCACCACAGCTGGTAGACTACTGTGGCACCACAGCTGGTAGACTACTGTGGCACCACAGCTGGTAGACAACTGTGGCACCACAGCTGGTAGACTACTGTGGCACCACAGCTGGTAGACAACTGTGGCACCACAGCTGGTAGACTACTGTGGCACCACAGCTGGTAGACTACTGTGGCACCACAGCTGGTAGACCATGGTGGCACCACAGCTGGTAGACTACTGTGGCACCACAGCTGGTAGACAACTGTGGCACCACAGCTGGTAGACAACTGTGGCACCACAGCTGGTAGACTACTGTGGCACCACAGCTGGTAGACAACTGTGGCACCACAGCTGGTAGACTACTGTGGCACCACAGCTGGTAGACTACTGTGGCACCACAGCTGGTAGACAACTGTGGCACCACAGCTGGTAGACGACTGTGGCACCACAGCTGGTAGACTACTGTGGCACCACAGCTGGTAGACTACTGTGGCACCACAACAGCATGTAGGATCATCCAAGGAATCGAGCAAATGCGTTAAAATTCCGACGCATTATTATAAATTATACCACCGCGATGGTGACGTTTTCTAATTCTGGGCCTTGCTATGTTAGGTGGGTTGGTTGGGTATGGCCGCGTGTAGTGAGGCCAAACAGTCGGGTTTTTAACGGAGTGAATATTGGGTGCTCAGACCAGGTGGGTCACGACCTTGTCCCTCCCGCTGAGCCTGGCCACCACCGTGGGCCGCTGCGGCCTGGCGCGGCGCGTCTGCCGCAGGCGGCAGGTGAGGAGGTCGCAGGAGGAGGTGCGGAACTTGCGGCTCATGAAGGTGTAGAGGATGGGGTTGACGGCGGAGTTGGCGTACATGAGGAGGAAGGTGACGGGGGTGAGGAGGTAGGAGGCGTGGGAGGTGTGGTTGTAGGCCGTCCAGTAGTACTGGAGCATCTTGCGGGTGTGGAAGGGCAGGGAGCAGGCCGCGAAGCTCACCACCACCACCACCAGCATGTTGATCACCTTCCGCCGCGCCCGCAGCACCAGCGGCGACGGGTGCAGGTGCAGCGCGCGCCGCCGCACCCTCGGCGACGCCCCGCGGCGGCTCCTTCGGGAACTACCGAGGGGCGTCAGCGGGATGACATCCGGGGCGGAGTGGTTGTTGCCGCGCGAGCCCTCGTCCCTCACGCTGGCCATGGACACGTACGTGGACATGATGGACTTGACGGAGCCGCGAGTGACGCGGAGTGACTTGTCTCTAGCGGGGGTGTTGGTGGGCGTGCCGCCCCCGCCCCCGCCCTCCACCCCAGCACCGCCCGCAGCGCTGCTGGAGGTGGAGCTGACGGAGGCGGTGTGCTGAGTCTTGAAGGTGCCGTACTCAGCGGCGGCCAGCTCGGCGGAGGTGTAGTGCGGGGAGGTGGCGGCGGCCAGGAGGCGGCCCGAGCGCCACAGCGTGTGGGCGATGCGGGCGTACAGCAGCGACAGCAGCACCAGCGGCAGCAGGTACAGCAGCGTCAGGCTCACCACGTCCCAGATCCGGGTGTCGAACTGGTCACGTCGCAGGAGGCACATGGCCTCCGTCCCTCCTCCCTCCACCGGGTACTCCTGCACCTGCAACACGTCGCAACATTCTTGCATCACAGTCTGGGCTCTCATGCAACATTACCACAAGTTAAACAACTAACCCAAGAATATCTGTACATTTCAACAATCGTTCATTGCATATAATAAAAAAATATGAAAATAATAATAATAATAAAATATATGATAATAATAATTATAATAATAAAATTAATAATAATAATCACATAGAAATCCCAATAACGTGATATATATCAATGCGAGAAGTCACCAGGGCTGTGAGGTGGGAGCGACCCCACAACCAAGGCAGTGTAGGCGCCACATTCTACCACTAGTGGTGGTGGTGTATGTGGTGGTGGTGTATGTGGTGGTGGTGGTGGTGTGTGTGGCTGGCAAGGCCTTGGTCGTAGCTTCTCGCCGCCTCACAGCCCTGGTGGATTTTCTTATTAACAATAATAATCTCCACCTATAAGAATATCTGTCTGTTTTTTCATTTTTCCAAAGAAGGATGATATGGCACTTGGGACTAGCCTTACGAAAACTTTGCAGAGTAATTGGTCTGGGTTATGGACATGTATACAGGACATGTATACAAGACATGTATGTGGACATGTACACCCTATGTATACAGGGTGATCCTGGACGAGCTCCATGTTTACCTTCGTATTAAACAGCAAATTACACTAATTTTCAATCTCAGTAAATGAAAAAAATGACATCCTTACAACGTATTAATTTTAGTTAGGATGGAAGGTGCTGAAGGTATTACTGAGAAGGGGAAAGAGAGGGGGTGGAATAGGGGAAAAGAGTTGAAAGAGGAAGGAGAGGAAAGAGGGGCAGAGAAACCCGGGCACAGCCAGGTACCCGACCTAGTAATAATATATATAGGAGTAGCATAGATTCAGACCTTTCATCTATATTTTTTCTTCTGCATTATGATACGTTTGACTATATATTCCTAAATTTTGGTGAAAGTTCACAGAGGTTAATTAAGTCATCAATTCACTCCAAACTGCTCAAACTTTGCTGTCAATGTACTTCAAGGCACATCACAATATGCTATCAATGTTCTCCAAGCACCAAAACACTACTATCAATACACTTCAAACGCCACACACACACACTCTGTTGTTGACAATGTACTCCAAGCCACGGCACACGCGGCTATCAATATACTCCAAGCACCAAACACTCTTATCAATATACTTCAAACTCAAGACACACTGCCATTAATACACGTGACGTTTCATACACAACACTGTATAACATTCACCCTCCTACACCCCACACTTCCCTCATACTCTGTGTAGTATATAGTCGATAGACTTTTGACAAATTATATGGCAGCAGCAACAGTTGCACTCTACAGAGTTTGAAGTGTGTTGATGGGTTTATAAACCTCTGAGTGCGTTGATAGCAAGAGTGCACGAACGCTCTTAAGGCTCAGAAAGGCTCACGCAAACAGAACAAACACTTACCGTGAAATAGAGGAGTCTGGGGCAGGAGTAGAGAGCAGAGAAGATCCATACCAATATCATCGTCACCTGCAACACAATATACTGGTAATATATATATATATATATATATATATATATATATATATATATATATATATATATATATATATATATATATATATATATATATATATATATATATATATATATATATATATAGTGGTGTGTGTGTGTGTAATTACCTAAGTGTAGTTACAGGATGAGAGCTACGCTCGTGGTGTCCCGCGTTCCCAGCACTCTTTGTCATATAACGCTTTGAAATTACTGACGGTCTTGGCCTCCACCACCTGTACATGTGTACATGTGTACATGTGTGTGTGTGTGTGTGTGTGTGTGTGTGTGTGTGTGTGTGTGAGGGGGAGAGATCTTGTGATAATTTGAGCGTAACTTTGAGCAAACTCAGTAGCCTGACCGAGGCCTCGGGTCACGGAAAGTTAAGGCCAACTTGCTTCTCTCCTGTTAGCGTTCATGCGAATATTCCCGCGTTTTTTTTAAATCACTAATCTGTCCAACAGCTTGATGCTATTTTGTTTCATGAGCGCAACATCACTCGAGTCAAAACATGGCGTTGTTCAGGTGGGAAACTAAGACCAAAGTCTTATGGGAATTTCTTGGAATATCGCCCATATAATTTCTCACACTTACTGGTAAATAGTACTGTAGGTGAACTTTATTGTTATATCTAAACCATTCACTGACGCTGGGAACATGGGGACGGACTGCCACCCTACACACACACACACACACACCCACACACACACACACACACACACACACACACACACACACACACACACACACACACACACACACACACACACACACACACACACACACACACACACACACACACACACACACACACTCACCCAACCCGTCCTCCTAACATAACGTCGTATGTTGACGTACACTCTACCTACCGTCAAAAACTGTCGTACTAGAAAATGGTAGCGGGTTGCGAAATTGACAGCATGTCCCGTTTTCTGTTTTGGGTCCTCTGGTAGGATAGGATAAGGGCATTTTAGTACGACAGTTTCCTGACGTTGGGAAACCTTAGGAGGCGCCGGGAGGAGCCAGCCAGCCGGACATGCTACTATCATTACACACAGAGATCACACTAACGTGATGCATCAAATGAACAAATCCACAAGGGCCGTGACGAGGATTCGAACCGTCGTCACGGCCCTTGTGGATTTGTTCATTTAAAAACGTGACAAACATTTCGCGCCAACGCTCCAGAGAGCAGAGTTAGGTGGTTGTGTGGCGCCCGCGGTAGTTAGTGTTTGAGGGACCGGCCGAAAGTTATTCTAGCGCCCTCAACGGAACATGTTAGGCCAGGACACACATGGAGCTGAGTGGATGCAGATCAAACCAATAGTTTAGGCTACAGTGCTCCGAGTGCTGTGGAGTACCGCTACTGGCTTGAGATCTCAGTACCTGGAACCTGGTCAGGACCTGGCCAGGTTATCCTCACAGTCATCGTTCAAAATTAACTTCATCGGTCCCGTGTTGCAGTGGGCTACGCTCTAAACTTGCAATCGAGGATCATGGACTCGATCCCCGAGTGAAACCGCAACGGTTGGGCACGTTTCAAGTCTTCTGATGCCCCAACTAACCTATTAGGTGATAGGTGCCCAGGATATTGGCAACTGTTGCGGCTTGCATCCTGGGTTGCAAGTATAGTCAGCACAGTTGGCTTCGTGGGGGAAGGGGAGATCGATAAGCTTAATTACAGGCTTCCTGTCCCCGGCAACGGGAATTATTTAAAATATAGATATATAAGAAAGCTCGTAATGATTTACAACCCCGTATTACGGCCGTGCCAGCGACGTAGGCAACGCTGGCAAAGCCCTGAGGAATTAGCGGGAAAATTGCCCGGGAAGGCCGCCAGGCGCCTTCAACTGACAAAGTCAAATTTGGCGGGTAATTTAATTGTCCCGCCACAATGCGCGGCCTTTATGGTGCTCTTGTAAATGTATCTGTGTGTGTGTGTGTGTGTGTGTGTGTGTGTGTGTGTGTGTGTGTGTGTGTGTGTGTGTGTGTGTGAGGTGAGGATATCTATACGTGTGGTGAGGGGTATCTGCATACGGGGTGACGATATCCATTTACCTAAACTCACGAGAATGTTGTAATACCCAACACACACACAACAAAAAAATCCCTGAAAATTTTTATGAAACATTCTTGTATTTTTAGACCTCAACCATTTAAGCCGTAAAGCCACAATAATTAAATACCTTTGTATTCATCAATTGTTCTCACCTGAACACTGGCCTCTATTGGTATTTTTAACCCCCCGTACAATGACATTTGTAACTGTTTTGGAACACATCTGTACACACGAGGTCAAACATATGTGAAGGTTTTCACATGTATAGGAGTAGGTATTGGCGAGACACCTGTAACAGTTGTGGCATCCTTGCATGTGTGGCTGCAGTAATATCTGTGTCAAATCCACGAGGGAAGGTTTGGAAAGCTGTAATAGGTTTAGTATTAAGGGGGGGGGGGCAGATGTGGAGCTATGGCAGGTGTGGATTATCTGGCAGGTATGACTGATGCAATTGGAGCAACCGAACGAGGAGCAGAGCAGATGTGGGAAGGCAGTACAGGTGTGTGGAAGGCAGTACAGGTGTGTGGAAGGCATTACAGGTGTGTGGAAGGCATTACAGGTGTGTGGAAGGCATTACAGGTGTGTGGAAGGCAATACAGATGTGTGAGGAAGACAATACAGGTGTGTGGAAAGCAGTAGAGGTGTGTGGAAGGCAGTACAGGTGTGTGTGGAAGACAATACAGGTGTGCGGAAGGCAGTACAGGTGTGTAGAAGGCAATACAGGTATGAGAAAGGCAGTACAGGTGTGTGAAAGGCAATACAGATGTGTGAGGAAGACAATACAGGTGTGCAGAAGACATTACAGGTGTGTGTGGGGAGCCAGAGCGACTTACTATCATATTCTTGCGGGTAAGAAGGGTCTTGGCTCGGAGGGGCTCGACAATGGCCAGGTACCGCTCGCCACTCACCACAACCAGGATGATCACTGAGGCTGTGTAGCTCAGCTGGTTCACGAACTGGTACATCAGACACAGGAACTCCCCGAAGTACCAGCTGTGGGCACAGACGGGTGTTAGTGGGGTATACAGGTGAGGGGGCGGGTGTTGACGGGTGTTTAATACACCAGGAGGAAGGGCAGTGGGTGTTGACAGGTGTTTAATACACCAGGAGGAAGGGCAGCGGGTGTTGAGAGGTGTGTAATACACCAGGAGGAAGGGCAGTGGGTGTTGACAGGTGTTTAATACACCAGGAGGAAGGGCAGCGGGTGTTGACAGGTGTGTAATACACCAGGATAAGGGCAGCGGGTGTTGACAGGTGTTTAATACACCAGGAGGAAGGGCAGCGGGTGTTGACAGGTGTTTAATACACCAGGATAAGGGCAGCAGGTGTTTAATACACCAGGAGAAGGGCAGCGGGTGTTGACAGGTGTTTAATACACCAGGAGGAAGGGCAGCGGGTGTTGACAGGTGTGTAATACACCAGGATAAGGGCAGCGGGTGTTGATACACAATGGAGAAAAATTAACACTTTCCCCTGAACTTCCTCTGATCAATAAAACAACATTATTATGTTATTGGGACAATATAGACAAATAAAGGAATTCCCAAGACCTTTGCGACAGGCTGGTGTTGAGGTTCTTGTGGCAACAGTGTCTAAGAATACACCCGGTGAGGGACACAGTGTCTAAGAATACACCCGGTGAGGGACACAGTGTCTAAGAATACACCCGGTGAGGGACACAGTGTCTAAGAATACACCAGGTGAGGGACACAGTGTCTAAGAATACACCCGGTGAGGGACACAGTGTCTAAGAATACACCCGGTGAGGTACACAGTGTCTAAGAATACACCAGGTGAGGGACACAGTGTCTAAGAATACACCCGGTGAGGGACACAGTGTCTAAGAATACACCCGGTGAGGTACACAGTGTCTAAGAATACACCAGGTGAGGGACACAGTGTCTAAGAATACACCCGGTGAGGGACACAGTGTCTAAGTATACATCCGGTGAGGTACACAGTGTCTAAGAATACACCCGGTGAGGGACACAGTGTCTAAGAATACACCCGGTGAGGTACACAGTGTCTAAGAATACACCCGGTGAGGTACACAGTGTCTAAGTATACATCCGGTGAGGGACACAGTGTCTAAGAATACACCCGGTGAGGGACACAGTGTCTAAGAATACACCCGGTGAGGTACACAGTGTCTAAGAATACACCCGGTGAGGTACACAGTGTCTAAGAATACACCCGGTGAGGTACACAGTGTCTAAGTATACATCCGGTGAGGGACACAGTGTCTAAGTATACATCCGGTGAGGTACACAGTGTCTAAGAATACACCCGGTGAGGTACACAGTGTCTAAGTATACATCCGGTGAGGGACACAGTGTCTAAGTATACATCCGGTGAGGTACACAGTGTCTAAGAATACACCCGGTGAGGTACACAGTGTCTAAGTATACATCCGGTGAGGGACACAGTGTCTAAGTATACACCAGGTGAGGTACACAGTGTCTAAGAATACACCCGGTGAGGTACACAGTGTCTAAGAATACACCAGGTGAGGTACACAGTGTCTAAGAATACACCCGGTGAGGTACACAGTGTCTAAGAATGCACCCGGTGAGGTACACAGTGTCTAAGAATACACCCGGTGAGGTACACAGTGTCTAAGTATACACCAGGTGAGGTACACAGTGTCTAAGAATACACCCGGTGAGGTACACAGTGTCTAAGTATACACCAGGTGAGGGACACAGTGTCTAAGAATACACCCGAGCTGTTTCTTTATGATGTTCAATTGATATAAACTCTTAGATTGTAATGAATATAGCATCTCAAACTCTGGAGATGAGCGGGAGAGTTATCGTGTGATAACATGATAACTATGGAACAATAGATGTTATCATGAAACAAATATAGTGACAGGAAACATATATGATGACATGAAACAAATATGTTGACATGAAACAAATATGTTGACATGAAAAAAATATGAAGGCATGACATAATAACTATGATAACATGATAACTATGGAACAATGAGGTGTGGTGATAACTGAGTCACTTAAGTGGTCACATCTCTAATAAGATCTCAGCGACAACTGAGAGAGCTGAGAACACACTCCAGGTGGTGAGTCACAAACACAATATTTAATATTTACCAAAAACAAATTTTTTGGAATAAATGGAGACAATTTTAAAATCTGGTGAAATGTATACGAAAGCGCTCAAGCTATCCGGCTCCGTCCGGTCGTGTGGCTCTGTCTGTCCGTGTGGTTTTATCCGGCCGTGTGGCTCCGTCCGGCCGTGTAACATTGGTCTCACTAAAGGATGCATTTGCATTCGTACAAATAGGATCCATCAAACACTTACGCATCCCCCCTTTACGAAACCTGTATATCTTTCCTCAATCATGGCGGCTTTGTTTACATATGTTCAAGAGTTCACGCGTCCCGAAGCACTACGAGGCTGTCTAACACAATATTTACATTGGAATGTGACGTTTCCCAGCTCGTAAACTCTTTAATAAATACACGAGAAGCAGCAGCCATGATCTGGGAAAGATGCACAGGTTTCGTCAGGGGGATGTGTAAAGGCTTGATGACTCCTGGTCCCCTGATACGTTCTCTTCTGGCTCTAACTCTTCAGTGATCTCTGTCTAGCCTCTGTAGACAGGGATTACTGTCAACGCGTCATTCCCGTTCCATGATGCTCAGACATGCTCCTCCGTCTGATACTTTAACTCTCATGTTTATCAGGCTTCAAAACTGTCTATAATAGTTTCTGCTGTCACGTCTGTCCTCGGCCCTCTGTCACGTCTGTCCTCGGCCCTCTGTCACGTCTGTCCTCGGCCCTCTGTCACGTCTGTCCTCGGCCCTCTGTCACGTCTGTCCTCGGCCCTCTGTCACGTCTGTCCTCGGCCCTCTGTCACGTCTGTCCTCGGCCCTCTGTCATGTCTATCCTCGGCCCTCTGTCACGTCTGTCCTCGGCCCTCTGTCACGTCTGTCCTCGGCCCTCTGTCACGTCTGTCCTCGGCCCTCTGTCATGTCTGTCCTCGGCCCTCTGTCACGTCTGTCCTCGGCCCTCTGTCACGCCTATCGGGAGTCCTCGGCCCGTGCCCTTGACTGTTGTCTCTCACCCCCTCGGCCCTCGGGGACTCTCCCTCGCGCTGGATTAGATTTAACTTTCAGATTGGATATATATCCTGCAGATTCCGGCAACCTTAGGCACAAGAACACGCTTAGGTTCCCAGAGCAGTCTGTACAGTCTTGCTCACAAAGGGTGAACGATAAGATGAGTCCTGAACGGTCGCTTGCGACGTGGACATGAGACGAGTTATCTTGAGATACATGGAATTGTCAAGTGTTACCAGAGGCAGTTAAATTTTTTCATTTTGCTTTGGACTTGTTTGAGAATATATGATATTGTGAAGAGAGCCTAACCCAGCCTAATCTAACCGAATTTAATCTAATCTAACTTGACCTAAATTAGCCTAACACAACCTAATTTAACCTTATCTAGCCTAAACATTGTACTTGTTTTGCTGTGTCTAGTTTTTTAAGACTAGAGTTTAGGACAAGTAAGGGAGTCACTTACTCTTTGATGACGTAGAGAGCGAAGTTCTGATAGATGCAGAAGACAGCCACACACAGGTCAGCAACAGCCAGGTTGGTCAGGAAGAAGTTGGTATGACTCCTCATCCTGCGGTGAAGCACCATTACCAGCACCACCAGCAGGTTTCCTGCAGGAGAGGAGGAACAAGGTGTTATCAATTAACATTACATCAGACAGGCTCTTCCAAGATGAAAAAAAATTGAATTGTCTCTTCTCTTAATCTCTTACAATATTTCCTTTAAAATAGCCTTTCTCGTGAACGTATTTTTAGTTTAACTAAACAGTTAAATATCTTAGCGTTTTTTTTAGTAATTACGATCTACTTTTATATATATTAATAATAATAATATTTCAAGAGAAGCGAGGTTTATATTCACCCAGAGTTTATTTAAGCCACTGATTACGTTCATGCCTAAAGTATGGTTGCTGGTTGCTTAGTAAACTAATGTGGTGCCCTTAATAGCCCTCCAGAGGGCAATGGGCCTTAATAACCTTCCAGAAGCTGACTGGTCTTAATAACCCTCCAGAGGTTAATGGACCTTAATAACCCATCAGAGGTTGACGGGTCTTAATAACCCTCCAGAGGTTAATGGACCTTAATAACCCATCAGAGGTTGACGGGTCTTAATAACCCTCCATAACAGTAGGTGGATTGTATCCAGATCCACGCCCTGCCTCCCTCAGCATCACGTGGGGGCAAAGAGTTGGATCACATCCACCAAGGTGGTGCAGAGGTCGACCTGTGTGCGCTGCAATATAATCCTATTAGGTCTTTCTGATATCATTCCTGTCAAGCTTTCATTAGGACTTTCTGATATCAAGACCCGTGTTGCGCCAGCTGCCTATTGCTAGGTAAGATATCGCAGCATCCCTTATGTGTATCGATGGGGGGGGGGACGATATCTGGTGTTTGCTGGTCGATATTTTGCGTGCGTTGCTAAGGCCTTGTTGGCGCCTACAGTAGTTACAATAGAGTTGAACTCTCTGTTTAGATTTGTACTTCATGTGGGATCACTGCCTGTACATGTGGTGTGTGTGTGTGTGTGTTTGTGTGGATGGCGGAAACATTTACTTTATTGTGGGCAATTTGTAGCGTCTGTCTGACTGCCTGTTTGACTGTCTATCTCTGCTACACACACACACACACACGTTCATTAAACAATATAAAAAAATTACAATGAATTTGCATCATTAACGCACACTGAAACAGAACACAGTCATATCTTAGAATTATCATTATTATCTTCTGTTTTACAATCAACAGAGCAAAAGAGAATTCACAATAACCACTCAAAAGTTTAAATACGTCAATACATTATCTACATTATTTTTTAACCAGCTTGACACCATTATATGTTAAAAGATAACATTTACGTTCCTCAGGACGAAAAGCGTGTTAAATTACCAGTAGC